TTTAATTAAAAAAATTGCAGAAAATTGAAAATTGAAATAAACAAAAAATGTAGGGCTCTCAAACTGAATACTTATTTCCATTTCACAATTTCGAAGGAAAGAGATGAGCTCTGATTAATAAATGTCCATTATTTATACTAATAACGTTTATTAGGTACCGGTTCTCTAACGGTTTTTAAACGGTCTAATGCCGATTGGACCACTAATGCGAGCCGTTTGCATTACCGGGTCATGCTCCGGTTCGTTTATGACAACATTGCAAATAATTGTAAGGATAAATCTACTCTTGGTACATTCGCTCTAATATTATATTTTTGCAGATTTACAGCTTTAAAAAATGTCGTTCCCAGTTCTTTTAATGGGCATTTGGGATGCTGCGTTTAATAGAATGGGGGAATAACTCTTCCACCGTTCCACGGCAGTGCTTGATCTCGCCAGACAAACCCAGATCCGTCCCTTCAGTACAGGGCCTCTAAATTCCAGGTGCTTCCAATCCAGTAGCGGATTTCGTGACACCGCTCTAATTTGGAATAACTATGATTTAATTCTCGATTGTAGTTGCATATGAGTGAAAAAAAATATGTAAGTGGTAGCATGACATCTCTAAAACTTGAAAAATGATTATTTAATCTCGCTAATAGTTTGCATATGGGCAAATAAAAACATTTAAATGGTATTCTATGTAAAATCATTAGGTTTGCCATTGCTCCGACCTGTATTATGTAAATGTCTAATTATTATTATACAGTATTGATTTTGACAGAGTAATAGAAAATAATGAATTGAATTTTGATTATGAGTCTAAAATAATAATATTTACAAACTTGAACCAAAATGCTAAAGAAATAAATAAACCGCATGAGAGGAAAACTTGTTTTCTTATTATAATTTTGGGTAAATACAATATATTAGCCACACTATTATGAAGCGGGAATTATAGCTACAACTATGGAAATTCAAATTATTAGTCAAATTTTAAATCTCTGTTAACAATTTCGTTAGTAATGCTGACTAAACTTTTATGTTTTAATGTTATAAATTAAAAACAGTCCGACGTGGCTGCTGCCGTGGCCGATGATGTTGCCTTCTCCATTAAAAATTCAGTAATAGTAACGGACAGTTAACCATATCTTGACCCGCAATAATAGTTATGGTTAATAATTTGAATTTACATAGTTGTGGCTATAATTCCCCGCTTCATAATAGTTGTGGCTAATATATTGTATTTACCCTATAATTTTTTTCAAAAATTATAACATAATGCATTATTCGTCATGTATTTTCTAGAGAGAATAAGAGAAGATATTGTCGATGCCTCATTATTAGGATTATTAAATTTGTTGCTTTAATTTTTTCCACTTTCAGCTTTCTAAAAAAGAAAAAGAATTCAATTAGTATGTTTGTACCAGCAAGACAACAATGCTAAGTTAATAAAATAATCTTCAATGATTTTTTAAACGCGGACCAAAATACGGCAAAAGTCAATAACAATAAGAAAAAAAAGTAAATCAACTATAAATAGTTTGTAACAAACTTAACTTTAGATTTAAGAATTATAAGCTTCTCTTATCTAATATATATTTTTCAAATATATGTTCATATTCTTCGATTCATCTAAAATTATTTTCCTCTTCTATACATTAAGTTCTAATCACCTATTCAGATGAGTTTTAGTTAACTAATTAATTCTCAATTTAATTACTATTTGGATTCTGATATTTTATTTCATTTTTCTATATAGAAACCATTATGACTCTTTATTTTAAATAATATTGAAAACCATTAAAAACCATATTCGATATATAATTACTCTTTGGATTTCTGTATACAAACCATTATACCCTTCGTTTACCCATCCCTGCCCTGGATCCCTAGCTCCGACCCTCCGACCCACCTTTCGCCTCTTTCATCTTCCAATTTCCCGAAGTTTCGCCTTTTATTTGGTGGCAGAAATCGAAGAGATTTTCTAGCAAAAGAAAAAAAGAAATCGAAGAGATTAAAAGAGCTCTGTTCTGTGAGGAATGGATGACTTAACATTCTACCTTCGTCACCCACAGTCACCAAAAATCAAAGGAGAATATCAAATTAACTCTATCGAAGCCGCTGCCAACGCCAGAGCTTCATGAGCCAACAACCAGATTTTTCGACGAGCTGCGACAGACAGTCGACAATTGAGGTGTGATCACCATATTATTGGGAAATTTTCGTTCAATATTTACTGTCCTCGCACAGAGAGAAGGTACTGATACCTGGCGGCTATTCTTTTGTGGTAATGAATTACATCTTTGTCAAGGCAAAGCTACTGGTTGCTACTTTGAACACCATTTAAAGTGATTGTTTCCTTAATTGAAAAGTGAAGCAACTTTCTTAGTCTTGCAGTGATACTTCTAAAGTTTGGTAAGAGGAGTTCTGAATGAGAACGGCAAGTGAAATATTTTGGGACAACATCACCACAGCTCTTAGAGAAATATAGATTGCATTTGCTGGCATCATTCAAAATCAGAATGAGGTATGTGATTTAATTTGAGAGTTTAATAAGGCTTCAGTTGGATCGACTGAACACCAGAGCTGTTTTGAACTGAAGTTAGCTATCTTAGTACAAATTCATATATTGTAATCTAATTGCCTCCACCCTCCATTAACTGATTTTTGTTATTGCAGAATTATGTATTTGGTTTATGGTTATGGTATTTACAGTTGATAATTGATTACCCCACTTGAAACTACAGGGAGCTACATTCAAATGACAGAACTCTTGGATGTATATTTATTTTGCTCAATATCTTAGAAGAGTTTTGATTCCTGGTACGAGGAGTTCATTGCCTATAGATTGCTTATGCTGAGTTGCAAGCTTTACGAAGGCGGAGAAGAGGCCTCTGTGAGTATTCATCTGCTTATAATCCTACTATGGAACTGCCACAACATGTGAATTCATTCATGTGTTATTGACTTGATTCATCTACTACTAGTGTTGTCAGTTATTGAGACCTTTGTTAAATATTAATTGTGATAGAATTGGAGCAATGTTCTGATGTCATAATGAAATATGTTGGAAGCAGTAGCTACATATGTACTTCTGCTCCATGTACAAGATTCATGAGGTATGTAAATCCAAGCTCTGTACGCACTGCAATTTGGATATAGGATCGACTAATAATAATGATTAATTGGAGTTCAATATTTGATGTGTTTTTGGAATGACAGTGTAATTTGCTGCATAATTAATTGAACATTGCTAATCTATTGTAAGTATATTATTTCCTTTCCCATCAGTTCTGTGCATCATTATAGGGCCACTGTTACCAAACACAAGAATGAATTAGGGGGCATTGTACTTCTTACTCACAGCCACACATCAGTAATTTATCATATATATGAGTCCGGAGGCGCGAAGTTGCTCGACTGAAATGAAGGGGGAGAATATGTTTGACTGAAGGAACCAAGTTTGACCGAGTGCAACTATGATGTGTAAACTAACATTTTCTCCGGGTGTATTTTCTTTCTTTTTTGTGCATGACTGAATACTAAGACCTTGTATATGTATTTTGATAGAAAAATTAGATAGCAGATAACTGAAAACACTAACAGGCATCAAAGCAATCGAATCAAACTGTACTTAAGAAATTTGACAATATAATTGAATCGAAGAAACCCATTATCTTATTTATATTGAACATCAATATCGAGTGTTGTGGGAACCCACTGCCTATTACAGAAAACTATGCTTGTACATTTTTCTCATATTGTTCTAACTACATTTCTACAGGGTACCATATGTGGGTCTCAAGTCTCAACCTTACAGTGTACAAATCTCTGAAGATTGCTCACACCCAACACATTCAACCGAGTAGGAAACAACGAACTGAGCATAACGATGAGGCTAGCATGTGGAGCTATGGCTGCACCGTATCTTTACCCACTCCATGTTATTCCATGAAGAATGCATATAGTAGGGGTGGAAGGGGGAAAGCGCCACCCACTAATGCACTAGTATTATTAGGGGTGAAAGGGGAAAACTGTTTGCAACGAGGGCTTCAGTTATATAGTTAAATTCAAATTTGTAAATATATTAGGTACATACGTTTACTCTATGTTCTTACCTGCGTTCAGGTTCTCTTTCTCTCACCATATAAGATGCCCAACAACATCTGGTGCATATTCTGATGCCAATTATCGTCTTGGTTGATGCAGATGAAATTTGCATGCTAGACGTTAATCACAGGTTGAGTGGACCATAGCCACCAAGAGGTTTTCTATGAGCTTTTGAAGTTTCCTGGGACAGATTCTGAAGTAGAACTTTGCCTTCGAGCTCCATACTTTCTTCGATATGATTGATAAAGGTGCAAATGCCCTAATTACTAAACAAAAAGTTGAGAAGGTGAATGGTTGTTGCCTACTGATCTTGTGTGATCTCTTCACTGACTCTTTTCTTCATAACATTTGTTTCATCCGATTCAGCGGGTGTGCCTTCTTTTCATTGATTTCTCAGCTGCTGACGGCTGGAGGAATTAAATATATATGTGGTTTCTTTATATTTTACCTAGTTATCTAGATCTTGCTGGACTGAAACGAATTATATTGCTTTATTTGTAAAAGGTAAAATACACTTGTATAGCCAAAATTTTGGCGTTTGTGCCAATAATAGCCAATTTTGAAGAAATACCACTTCTAGCCAGATTTGTAGTTATTGTAGGACAAATCTAGCCATTTCCGTTAGATTCTTTAACGGTGTTAGTTACACCGTCAACTTCGTTGACAATTCGCTGACTAGACTCCCGCTCAGCGCACACGTCAGCGCCAAATAAGCTAAATTGACACATCATATATTAATTTTATTTAATAATTACAACATTAATTAAAAATATGACACGTCATATTTTACTTATAAATATTTAATTAATTTTTAAAACCAAAAATATTTTATAAAAAAAATCAATACCTTCTCAATCTTCGTTCCCATCTTTATAAAAAAAAGCACCGTTCCAGTCCAAGAACCCAACGTCACCGTCGCTGGAAACTTCTCTCGCATCCGGCACCTACTCTACTCCATCTCCACGAACTCTCCTCCCTCCAGAACACCCCAATCCCCAAGCCCAAATTCATCCACCAAAAAATCGTGGAGAAGAAGAATCGACTTCGTTAACCTTCTCTCCGTCTTCCCACCTTCATCTCCTCTTCTATTGGGTGGAACCGCTGGGTAGAATCCTAGGCCTTTGCTTCAATTAATACTCTGCTTCATCTATTGATTCGCCAGAGAGGAGGAAGGGATTTCCGTATTTTGATTTGATGGAGAGGAAGATGGGATCTCGGAAATCCAAAGGCAACGTCAATTATCGATTCAGATTCAAGCTCTATCTCCGCCGTAGCTAGATTCAATTCCAGCGGCATTCCAGCTATGGACATGGGCTATTCGATTTGGGGGTTCTAAGACGTCGTCACTTCCGTGCACTGGCGTCTCACATATGGACGACAGATAAATGAGAGGAGAAGGAAGGGTTTTGTTTTTCTTTTTTTAGGGTTGGTGTCGTTGTGGGGAAGAGAAAGGAGAAGTCTTGTTGTTGTTTGTTGATGGAGAAGTCAGAAGAGGAAAGGAGAGGGAAATCAAAATACAGAGGGAAAAGTAGAGGAGTAGAGGTTCAGATCCGGAACCAATCCACCGACAAAGAGGCACGGCGACCAACGGTATTACGACTGCGAAATCAAGCAGTCGAATACTACTGCATCGCCCTGCCGGAACCGTTGTCGCAGGCCGACCTCAAACGTCGCCTTAACCGATTCTCAGGAAATCTCATCACAGCCCATTTCGAAGAACAAGAGGAGGAGGAGGAGGAGGAAGAAGAAGAAGCATAGTGTGATAGGGAGGAGGAGGAAAGGCGGCGGTGATGGTCGGAGAGATCATCGGCTTCGCAGCCGTTCAGAGAGAAGAGAAAACGACGACAGAGCCACTTCTCCGCCTCGCCTGAGTAAAGTCTCCTTCCCCTGGTTGAGGATATTTGCCCAAAATGGCGGTGATGGTTTTTCCTTTTCTTTTCATTATGTTTTTATTTAAATTAATTAACATAAAAGGGAAAAATTTGATCTGGTATAATTTTTAATAAAATATGCCACGTCCATCATTATCGTTAGTCCAATCAGCCCGCTAGTTGACACCGTCAAAGAATTGGACAGAAGCGGCTATAAGTGGTATTTCTTCAAATCTGACTATTATTGTCACAAACGTGAAAGTTTTGGCTATACAAGTGTATTTTACCTTTGTAAAATTATCATTCTCTGTTTTGAATAACAAACTGGAAATCACCTTTTCAGAATGATATGTAGAGCCAAGCATTACTATTTGAGTAATAACATTATTGTGTAAATGTTGTTTCTTATTAGGACCCTTCCTTTTAATAAATTAAACACGACCATTTTATCATGTTTGGTTTCATTCTTAGAAATTTGTTTTGTTGATGTGTTGGAAACTATCACTTAACATGAGTGATAGTAATATTTCTACTAAAACTTGAGATTCTTAGAGATAGTTTTGAGTAAATTGTTGGGTTTCTTTTTTGTCCCAAGTATACCATAGTTATATATGTATATGTTCTCATAAAAACAAGGGCAAAAGTGATCTTTCATACCAAACAATCTAAAGTACATTACATCATTTTCCTAAATTACATGTATATTATGATGCATGTATTGATTACAAATTACAATGCATTGATTTAAGCATCACCAAACCAACGTCCCTTAGTTTGTTGTAATTCTTATTTCTCTGAATGTTATATAATTGAATGGCCTGATGGTTGTATAAGTGGGAGGGATTTCTTTGATTGAAACTAGGTGGTGTTTGGTATTGGTTGGTAGGGAGGGTGGAGTTTTTTTTTTTTTTTTTGAATATTACGGGAGGGTGGAGTTACTTCATTGTTCTAATATAGGAATAGGAAAGTTGTACAAGTCTGTAACCAATGCCTGCACATTTTAACAACAACATATTCCTTTTCTTTTATGTCGTAATTTTATCTAGCTCTTAGGGGTTTGCACAATTCTCGAAACCTTTCACATCTATGTAAAATAGTGTAATCTCAATGCATTTTAAGCCCGACTGAATTAGCATATATTTTAATATGTTTTTCTTCGCTAATATGTTTCATTGCACTAATTGTGTCCTTTTGGAAAATTGCTATATGTGCCCAGTGAATTCTCGAGTATGACATATATGGCGCGGAGCGCGAGTTTTCCTCACTAGTGTACAATTAACTTATGCATAACATTTTTCCTACGAAAGATACAATTAGTCAATTACAGAGCTGCATTGCATTATATAATTAGTGTCGGCAAGCATAATCTTGGGTTAGTCTCAGTTTAAAGAAAATCCTACTAATTAGGACAGGACATTCAGTAGTTTTCCGGCACGTGGGTAGTTAATCTGCGGATCGATATCGATCCACCCGCAAATAATTCGGCCCGTAAGCAGTGGGTGATTGATGTGAATGGATTGCGGATTGATAAATCTCTCACCCGCACTTATGTGGGTGGGTGGTGGGTGGGTGCAGGTCACTCGTATAACCCGCATCCTTTTTCACATGAAAAAATGTCGTTTCTTTTAGTATCGAATATTAAGCATATTTCGAACGGCACTACAATCTTACCATATACTTCAAAAGGTGGAGAATAAAAAATAGTTTTGACTACCATTATTGGTTATTGTGTTGTGCAATATCTAATAGATATTGCATATTGAGATGCAAATTATTGTTAATATATCTATTAAGTATTGAAATGCAAACTATAAATTATTAATTGTATCAGAATCATAAAATGCGAAGTTTACTCTACAAAATTGGTTTGATAGAGTAGTAAGATTATGATGCAAATACTACATGGATTCACTTGAGACAAAGTGAGAAGTGTCTGAATTGACAGTCTTACTAATTTGCTATGAACTTATTATAAATGTTAGTAAACTTTCTTAATGGCTAGTTGGAGCATTGCTTTTGTGGGTTGACCCGCGACCCAACCACATCCATTCGCCACCCACCCAACCCAACCCAACCCAACCCAACCCACAGAAGAATGTGGGTGAATTGCGGGTCACAATTATTCCAACTCGCTAGTAAGCGGGTGGGTCAATTTAATACCAAAATCCACCCAACCCGCCCATTGCCCACCCCTAGTTTTTCCCACCACCAAATGAATCTTTTATCATTCATGGAAACCCACCATGACTGTCTAATAAGACAACTAAGAAATGAATGAAGTAATGGGAAAGCTTGAGAAGTTTGTTATCCAGATCTATTGGTTCCGTGTCGTACGAAATCCAGCTGCAAAAACAAACAAATCAGGGTTCAATAATAAGCAGAACGATAAATTAATGCAAACAAAGGGAGATTATAAATCAAAATAGGAATTCGTTTGCTCTTCTACGAACCCATCAGGACACAATAGATGTTAACATACTGAAGATATGAGCTAGTTGGTCACAACCAAGGCCAACAGGAACATATTAAGAACTTCAAAAGGACAACAAACTGAAAACCTCATAAATGCAATGAAGAACACATTGAAGAACAAAACAGAAACATAAAATTATAAGATTATGTAAGCTAATAGGTGCATACTCTTATGCAGCAAACATCAATTCACATACTTATCTTGCTGCAACATGCATAAGTCATAGAGGAATATCAGCCATGCTAAAAAACAACAAACATAATGCGAGAGAGAAGTCGAAATATAGAGAAATTATGTTACCTGTCTTGAGGAGTAGCCTGAGCTGCACGTTCGAAGCAACCCATTGCTTTATCTCGACAGCAACAGAGCTCTCTCACAAGTTTTGCATATTGCATTAATATCTCTTCATTTCTAAGCTCCACCAGTGTTGCCCTGAGATAGTATTCCTCGGGCCATGGAGGTCTCTCTCGAACTGAAACAATCCAGGAAAATGATTTTAGAGTCAGTTTTCCCCCACTTGAAAAGAAAGCATCCAAGCATGCAAGCAAATAAAAAGAGCAGTTGTTTTTCTAACCTGCAAGCTTATTGAGGAACAAAGGATGGCTAGGAAACCTTTTCATGTGAGCAATAGAGCCAACTTGGCAAATCTCCGCTACCAGATACAGCATTACTAGCAGCAAAAGCAGACCCAGAACTCCAATCACCCTTCTTCGTACATATATATGCAGCATTCCCCGCGGTGATAGTATCACATTGCAACCTAGCATCTAAACAACTAAAACTGAAAACCAAATGTTACACTCAAAACATTACGAAACAATGAAGACTTGTCTAGAATGAGCAACAACTGAACAAAAGAAAATCCAGATGGAATACTGCTAGCTTCAGATTCATTGATAGAGTGATGAATTTAGATAATCTTATACTTGTTCCTATGATATATCAATTTACATCAATATACACCACAGGTACCATCATGTTTTTACAAGGAAATTAGGTACTTGAGTTGTGTATGTGTAAATAAAGAACCGCCATGTTCATGATTCATTCTTAGGACTCAACGACTTCCGCAACCAGTAATGGAAGGGATAGAGCTAAGAGATGCCCTTTTTCTCGTACCAAAAGGACTCATTTTTCGGGTGAACCTGATAATTGCATAATTCAACAACGACATTCTAAGTGAAACAAGATATAGATATAATTCATAATCATAGAAATGCAAAACATCCTGCTGCTTTGTTTATTAAAGGGCTAATACCACTACAACACCCGAACTATCGCAAAAATGTCACTTGTGTCCTAATTTTTTCAATATTCCATTCATGTCCTGAACTATTATATTTTGTGTCATTTGCATCTTGCCAATTTCGTTGACCGTTAAAGATAACAGTTGACCAAACGGCGGTCAATTCAACACTGACTTTTGCTGACGTGGCATTGCCACGTCAATAAAACTTTGAAAATAAAAAATTCAAAAAACTATAAATTCAATAATATTACTAAATAATATTCTAAAAACCCAAAATTCAAGAATATATATCTTCGAAGTCGATGGTCCGTTCTTCTCTGCTTCTTCATCTTCCTCCCCTGCCCCTTGGCGAAAGCTGAATCGTCATTCACCATTCCACGAGGACCAGCTGTTGTTGGTCTAGATTGCATGCCCATTCGAAGTCTAAAGGGGGTTCTGTTCCAGAAATCAGAAAATCTCGCACCGGCAAAAGGAGATCGTGAGCGTGTTGGCGACAACTCTCTACTAACACCACGAACAGCTCGAATGTTTCCACAATAGGGGGATCGCCACAGCGAAATCAGATGTTTTCGGCTTCTGGATCCGCATTGCCATCGATTTGGGGAAGAAGGGAGGTGGATTTAGCTTACCTAGATTCTGGCTTCGACGAATGCAGTAGCAGCAAGCCCAGATCTGGTACTGCTGCCGCAGTTACAGCAACATCATCCTTGTCGCCCATTCTCCGTCTCTTGCTTTTGATGCTCGTACAGGCTTTATCCGGAGCCTCAACGTCGACGGGAGCGAGTTCTAGGACTACCTCCGACACTATCGCCATTGGAATAAGCAAAACATCCACTACTCCTATCCGCCTCACCATTATTTCCCAGGTTGCAAGGATGCATTACCAGAGTTGAAAGAAATCATAGCTTAACGGATTAGTGTAGTGGGTATTTTGATTGGAAAGAAAGTGAAACGAATAGATTGGGAATGAAAAAGGGATCTCGAAGATGATGGGGGAAGGGTAGGTGGGTGGGCGGAGGAAGAGTACGGTGAAAGGGTTTTGGATCTAGGGATTTGACTTCTCTGTGATCTGTAATCGAGATCCATCGTTCCATGTCCGAACTCTGCTCCAGCGTCCACGACCGAGAGTCCTTCGATCTCGCCAATTCACCAGATACGCGCACCATCTTCAGCTCATCATCAACCACCTCCTCCGATCCTCTCCGTCGCTTTCTGCTCCCGTGGAGACCGGATGGAGAGGCATCTCCGAAGATCTCTCTAATGTTGCAGAAGCGATTGTAGCCTATAGGAAGAGGAACAAGATCAGTGTTCTGATCCAGCTCCTATGCTCGTCTGTTCTGGAGGCGAGGGTCGACGGCTGCTCATCTCTTCCAGGCAACGATTCAATCTTGGAGGGGAAGAGGAGCGAACGGAGATATAGAGTTTTTTTTATTTTAGTTTTTTTATAAATATTATTTTAAATAAATTCAGATTAAAAAATTACATGTCAGATGCCACATCAGCGTCGAAGATGCCACATCAGCGCTGACTATATTTTCTGTTAAAAACTAACGGTCAACAAAAGTCAACACTAACGGAATCATAGTTCAGGACACAGATGGAATATTGGAAACAATAGGACACAAGTGGCATTTTTGCGATAGTTCGGGTGTTGTAGTGGTATTAGCTCTTTATTAAATAAAAAGAGATTACAAAGCTGCAGGTAGCATGATAACGATAGATTACAAAGTTTACGAATACTAGATAACCAATAGAACTTCCTATAGAAGAATGGATATAAGAGTAAACTGGGCGATAGTTGATTTCTCCTTATTGGCGAAAAACAGTAGAAGGAGAGAACCATAGAGGTAATCGAGAAATCATCGAAGGGTTATTATGTAAAGAGGTGGTAGAATAGAGAGGCTTGATTTTGTGAGTGGCAAGGTCGTAAACACCCATGTCATGACCTCCATGCTTCCGCTGTCGATGGTTGTTAATAAAATCGTCGGTGAAATAAATGGAATTGGAAATTAGTCGAGGATGCACTTTGGTAGGGACAAAAGTAGAACAAGAGTTGAATCCCAAGAACGAGGCTAATTCTCCGATGCAGTTAACCTCATCCCATCCACTAGCATCTTTCTTCATCTTGAAAACTTTGAACTTGTCGGTGCAGTAAGTTTTGGTGGCCGCTTCTCCGTTGTCTAATTGATGGTCAATGTCCATCATTTCCGTAAATCTAGATACCATCATCAACTGATCATCATCATCTCCAGTAACAGTAGCTGGACATACAACCAAGTACTGACGCCTTGCCGTAACCGTAAACATTGGGAAGAAAATCAAGAAGGAATGACAGGATTGGGTGATGTGGGTTAGCAGAAAAATCACACACCAGGATCCTTCCTCCCCAATCAAGGGTGTAAAATCGATCCCTCCAAAAGACCACATCAACAAAACCAATCTTACCTGGGGGTATACCATTCTCCTCTTCATGAGGAACCAACTTCCATCCCGCTTCAATTTCAGTAGGCCTGCAGAATGTTAGGCGATCATCATAGCCGTCCCAACGGATGGCCAACACAATGCATTCCTCCGAGGTGGGCTCGTCTGACATTACGACTCTCTTCAGGTACTTCTTCTCAAAGAAGTTCTTGCTAATTAATTCTATGTAGCCATCAGCTGATTGAACATGGTATTCAAGCTCTGCATTTTCAGGGCGGTAAGCCAACACACCAGGGAAAGACGTGGCGGGTGGCAGAGGAATCTCAGTCTTGGTAAGAGGGTTCAACAAGGAGATACCAGGCGTTTTATCTACAATGCACAGCCAGCCCATTGTGGACCCGCGGTAACTTTTGTCCTGTAAGCCTGGAGGGAACTCAATGTGGTGAAATCGATGCAGCGCCACGTTGTAAAAGCAGCGGCAGTTCTTGGAACCTTTACACCCAAGCATCGGAATTGCAGCAGCTGGAGAGTCGATGACAGTACTGCACATGGCCATGGCCATGTTCATATTGTTGCTAGTGCAATACGGTAGCATCAGCCATTGCGTGAATGGGGGGATCCTGCGCTGCTGCTCGGCCAGCAGGGCTCGACTCCATGGATTACAAACACCTAGAGATCGAATGACATCCTCTATTGTCATCAACCGCTGTCCGATCATACACAGTAGATCCTCCCCCAATTCTGACCAATCTTTCACTCCATCAGCCATTGGTGCTCTCTTTCAAACCGATATGTCTATATCCAGAGCAGACACCTCTTTACTATTTATTGAATTCGCTCTTTTCCGATTTCGAAACAAAATAGGGAAAAAGGCGGAAAGAGATAGAGAGGGAGAAGAGAAATCCCCGACTAAGAAACGGAAAAGGAGAAAGGGTTTGAGATTCAGAGTCTTACAACTCTGGCGGCTGCGGCGGATCTCATCTTATCGGTGTGTATGTATTACTGTCCAACCAATCTCTGGAATCACTAACCGGAAATGAATCTAAACTCTTCCACGCTTCTTATTGCCGGAGATCTAAGAAAATAATAATCTCTCAAGTGATAACTTTGTGCTAAACTGAAACCCAAAAGAACCGCTCGGGACGAGGAAACCGATTGGTTTTCTTTTTTCTTATTTTACTAGATTGTACCCCGGCCCGTTGGCCGGTTGCATTATGATAACTGTAATTAGCAAAGTTTCAAACTTAAATTTTAGCTTATCCTCTTCTCTTATGTTCGTACTATAATTGTATGTCAATGTCTGCGCGAATTAACAAATAATGATTTTTTTTACCAAAGTCTAATTTTTCAATTGTTTGAAAAATAGAAAATGAGCATCCATAAAAAAGATTACTAACATTGTAATTTGTGCCTTCTGCGAAGATTTTTATTAAAAATAAAGTTAGAACTCATGCAAAGGTATATCAACTCATAATATACTTAATAACACGATATTATAAGTATTTTAAAATGACCAGTGTCATTATCTTTTTACTATCAAGAAATTCCACCATCAACAAAAAACTTCTCTTTCCCATTTTGTGCGAAGCAGATGCAAAGAGAATCATAATTATATATGAAATATCATTTTATGGTAAATCACATTAAGTATAAAATTTTCATGAAAAAATATGCAATTGAAATTTAAATGAAAGAGATGTGTACCATTTAGTAACAATGAGGTACGAAAAACATAATAATATTATACAAATTTTATACTATATATTGGTGTACTTCTGTATCATTGTCATAAAGGAACCTAACACGTAATTGTGACCATATTTTTAGAAGGATATTGTTTTATTTAAATCATATTTGAATGAATATTATTGTGAAAATCCAATTAAATGTAGTTGTTCTATGCCAAAATATGTATATTTTAAATTGAAATAAAAAAGATACATATCATTTAATAATGTTAAGGTATTGAAAAATTAAGGAATAAGGAGAGAGATTGTGATAGATGGAGAGATCTAATTAGATTCCTATAAGATTGTAATTAAAATAATTATTTTCCTTGTTTATTTTCCAAAATTTTAAAAATTATATTAAATTAAAGTAATGCATGAAATTCCTTACATATTGATCCCGCATCACGCCTATAACCTTTTCATTAGCAAAGTACCAAACTTATCATAATTAGGGATGGCAATGGGGCGGGTTTGGGGCGGGTTTGCTAAAACCATCCCCATACCCATCTTCAAATACCCAAACCCATACCCGCCCCATACCCATGCGGGGAATGTTTTGCAAACCCATCCACATACCCGTGGGTTTTGGGTACCCATGGGTAATACCCATACCCGTACATCCAACATTATTATATCTAAAACTTACAAGAAAAGTTCTAATTATAACTCTAAACGAACATATTATATCATGAAGTCAACAAAACACGGTCATTTTTTAATATTTTTCAAAGATTATGATCCTAAAATATCCATTAATACATAATAAGAGTATAATATTTTTCAAATTATTATGTTTTAACTCTGATACATCTACTAAATAATAATTAACTAACATAATCTTGTTGACAAGGGGGAAAGTGAAAGAGTGAAATGAGAATTGAGAGAAATGAATTAGATTTTGATTAAGATGGTCACTCAATTGCATTTGTACTATTTATTTCTCAAGTTATCCTCATCATCATTGATAGATTATAATTTGATGCACATATTTTTTTTTATATGAAGAAATTATCTTGGTGGGGCGGGTATGGGGATGGGTATGGGGCGGGGGAGGCTAAAACCATACCCGCCCCATACCCATCAAACTTTTTGCGGGTTTTACCCATACCCGCCCCATACCCGGTCAAAGCGGGGATTCCCCGCGTTGACTGGGTTGGAGGCGGTCGGATACCCGCGGCCATGGGTTTGATTGCCATCCCTAATCATAATTCATTAGTAAAAGTGTAAAACCATGGCTAATGGCTATTTAATGGGAGATTGTACGAATTTTCTTTTTATAGGAAGTGGGGATTATGGGTTATAAAGAAGACAATGCTAGCTAGTGCCCATTGGGCTGCGGGGAAAAAAAGCGGAAAGCCCAAGTGATAGCCACCGATAATTAAGATGCAAAAAGACTCTAAAGTCCTCCCTTGCTTTGCGGGGAGGTCAGAAAATATTGAATTGTGTAGGTACACAAGGAGAACGTGCTTATATGTACTAGCTTATAACTCGGCCGGTTCGCCGATTAACATTATGCATGTTCATATTTGACTGTTTATATTCATTAAAAACACGGTCCATTAATGAAACAAATCATAGAATCCAACACTGGACCATAAGTGCATTCGATCTGGTGGGATCCGATGAAGTTCGTTCGAAATGTCCCATCAGAACATTTTTCTTTTGAACTTATATGATTGGTAGGATGAAGGTCCAGGACATATTAGATTCAATTCGATATGGTCTTGGTCAAAGCTGTGTTG